AGCCTGGGGCTGTAAACCTGGTCAATAGCTCATGACAAGGGAGACCATGGGCTCTGGAGGAACTTACTTCTGTTGTTTAGGTAAACTGACATGCTATCAAGCTGCCTTCTAAGTATTTATTTATTCAGTAGTTTTGCCAGGGTATGTTATCACAGAACAGAAAAGTAATAACACAATGATCAACTTATTACCAATATTACCAATATTTCTTTCTTCTGCTCATACTACCACAAATTACAAGTAATCCCCCAAATTTACAGAGATTGGAGTGTTTTCAATGAGCATGGCTAGACTGTCTATGAGGTCACACATCTACTAGACTTTCATACCCCGCCCCAACTCTGCACCATCTGATAAAAGGCATTCTTGGGCTGGTGAGACAGTTCCAGGGTAAAGACACTTGCTGCCAAGTCTTACAGCCTGAGTTCAATTCCCTGACCCCCATGGTAGAAAGAGAGAACTGACTCCTACAAGTCGTTCCCTGACCTTAATGTGTGTACTGTGGAACTGGCTTCTGCGTGTACACATGTGCGCACACACACACACACACACACACACACACACACACACACACAGTGCTTTAAAATAGCATGCTTACAAATAAACATAATTAAATTTTTAAAGGCATTCTCAGGGTCCTTGCTCTCCACAGCCACCACAAGGTGCAGCCTATTACAACATCCCTCCACTTAAGCTCATGACTCCTTTGCTCTCTACTACAAAACATCGAGATAGTCATTATTATTCATTCACCAGCCTTTTGGTTTTGAAAAGAATATTTACATTTCAAAAGAGAGAATTAACTGCATACCCTCATCAAATACATCATGCACAATTTTTTTTGTCTCAGCTATGATTTTCATAATTTTTAGACAACTATAAATTATCAAAAGCACTCCTGGAAAGTACTTGAGTACAGACACCTGTGCTGGCATGCCGGTTCAGCACTGTGTCCCTGAGCAAGGTGGAAGACAACTGGAAACAGGAATCTGAATATTCCAGCAAGGGCTCTGGCCGGGAGGGAACCTTCACTCTGCTAGATGTAAATAGCACTGATTAATTTCAACTTGACGCCATGGTCCACCTTCATTGTCATCTTGACTGGACGCAGAATCACCCAGGAAACATACCTGGATGTGTGTCTGTGAGTGATTCCCAGAGATGTTGAACAGATGGGGAAGACTCAGCCTGAATGTGGGTAGCACTGTTCTGTGGGCTGTGGTCTCAGGCTGAATAAAAACGGGAAAAGGAGGAAGACAGGCGAGCATGGGAATTCCTTTCTTTGCTTCCTGACAGCTGGTGTGACAAAAGGACCACCTCACACACCAGCCGCTTCAGGTGGGAGCTGCCACCGCCACCATGCATTCCTACCATGATTGACACTGCCTTCTCAAACTGTGAGCCGAGATAAAGTCTCCTTCCTGTATAAGGCACCTTTTCTCGGGCACTTAGTCGCAGCAATGAGAAAAGGAAGAGTCCGTGTGAGTTAAAGCTACCTGTGGACCTCTAAGCTGTTGTGACAAACTCTCCCAGGGATAAGATCGGCTACCAGCTGGGTACAACCTTGGGCAGTAAATCACCTTTGTGTGAGTATTTCATAACGAGAGCTAAACCAAATGCTCAATAAAGGGAGAAATTATCTTATTCTGAAACTGTCTTTATTCTTAATGTTTGTTATATTTTGTTTTATTTTATTTATTTATCATTTATGTGTGGGGAAGGCTCTGCAAATCCCATAGCGTGCATACAGTAGACTGAGGGTAACTGGCCAGAGCTGATTCCCTCATTCCACAGATCAGACTCAGGTCAGCAGTCTTGGTGGCATGCTTTAATCACTGAGCCATCTTGCAGCCCTTATTCCATTTATTCTTAATAATGATAGCAATTAACTCTTACACAGCAAGTGCATATTAGATATCTCTCAAGTAGGTAAGAGAAACTATAATTGGAACAGACAGAATTCCACCCAGGCTATCTTATCATTAAATGATTTGAAAGAGACTTTTTAAACACTTCAAAATACCAGTGCTTCATTTCCATGGTCCTACATAGTATTTCTACTCTCAATAAAAACTATATATCACAACCACAGCTTCTCACCCAGGAGATACTTCTTCTAATGTTTTCTTTTAGCCAAAAGAAAATGCAATGCCAGCCCCTTCATTTTATGCCTCATTTTAACCAGTTTTTGTTTATAGAAATGTTTCCCCCCTGCAGCCCCTTCATTTTATGCCTCATTTTAACCAGTTTTTGTTTATAGAAATGTTTCCCCCCATGTATACCAAGTGTATTTCCCTACCAACTAATCTCTAGCCAATGATACTCCTAATTTTTAAAAAGTTCCTAGTTTCAGGTCAATCCTGAAGGTCAGGCTAGACTGTGTGAACTCTATTCTAGGGGATTTGTTTCTGCTGGTATTTTTCATAGGGTCTTATGTAGCCCAGGCTAGCCTTGAACTCACTATGCATCTGATCTTGTATCTCATCCTCTTGCCTCAGCCTCCCAAGAGCTGGGATTACAGGGATGCACCACCACACCCAGTTATGAAGTCCTTGAGATCAAGCCCAGGCCTGTTCTGGCGATGTGATATGAGTAGATAGGCCAGCTACAAGAAATAAACATCCAACTTTGGGAGAGCTGTAACATCTGAGACTTATATTAATGGAGGAGATGGGCAAAGGACAGGATTTTATGATGGACAGGTATGGCAATGTAATCTTAAAAGGGGGACTGCATATCCCAGGCCAGCCTGGGCTACACAGAGGGATCTGGCTCAAAAAAAAAAAAAAAAACAGTCTTTAGCAGGTCTGTCTTTCAAATTCAGGACATTAGCAAGAGAACAGGGCCATGTGATGATCCAGCAAAGGTAACCGGAATGTATTTTTATGATAATAATTTAGACAATCGTTAAATCTTTTTAAAAAGGAGTGAGAACTATTTGAAACTTAGGGGAATGTTGCTAAATAGCAAGAATGTTGTTGTCATGACCTGTCAGATGACAACAGCTGGTTGCTACAGTTGCATACTCCGGCAGTGACCTGCCAATCACTCAGTTCCATTCCTCCATCTACTCCTAACACACTGTCAGCCTACAAAGTCTGTCTTAGGACCTTGCATGGTTAGCACCATTATTTTCACAGTCCCGGGAAAGCAAAGCTTATACATTAGTAGCTGGGCACCCACTCTGAGCTTCAGTCAGTTCCCTAGGACTCAGCACACCTGGGTACTCATGCCAGGCTGAGAAGGAAACACCTTGGCTCACCCATCACGCTGCTAACACTACAAATCCTCTTCAGGAAGTGAGCCAGACTTCGTCACAGTCTCCTACCTATTGTCTTCAGTCTCCACATTCTGCATGGAAACACTGTGGCAGGTCCCATTCTCTATGCTGTTCTTGGTAATGAACTCAGTTCTTTCTAAGGGACCAAAGGAGCAAAGGAAGATGGACACTGGCCAACTTCAAACAAAAGTGTAGAACTGAAACTTTTCTTTTTTGGCTCACAGCTGCTCCTTTGTTTTATCACTTATATTTGGTTTTGAAGCAAAACATGTTCTGAGTTCAGTGCATCAATCTAGAGACCTGGTTGAGGAGAAGGAACACATTTAAAAGCTAAGGAGACACAGTAAGAAGACCAGATCGATGCTTGGCATGGAGGCAGATCTCTGTGAGTTCAAGGAAAGCCTGGTCTACATTAGGAGTTCCAGCCCAGACAGGGCTGCACAGTGAGACCTTGTCTCAAAAGAAAAAACAAAAAAACAAAACAAAACAAAAACCTAGAGTCACCATTTGTATTTCTTTACCTTCATGACCTCATCTGTGAAAATAGCAATACTCACATCACAAAATTATTATGGGCCGTTAAAAAGACAATGAATATTTAAGTATTAGCACTTAATGAGTATTCCAATAAATGCTCATTTTCTTTCACTGGACATAATCTTCTCTGGTTAATAGCTTTGGAATTTAGTGTTATTTTCACTGAGGAATCATTACAATTCTTATTTTAGCCACTATTTTCTCTTAAAGTTACATTCTAGAGTTTATTATCTTGTGACCAGTATTTGTTTTACCCCTACTATCAACTGTCACCCCAAAAGTTGGTTCTTTGCTGTATATCATAGAGACTGTCCCTGCTGTTCCTTTAAGAATATTTGGACTGATTACACGCAAAGTCTATGTCTAGATGTCTCATGCCTAGCCTGGTTCAAAGCCAACTACCCTGCTGTGGATATCACTCTGTATAAATAAAATGCTGATTGGCCAGTAGCCAGGCAGGAAGTATAGGCAGGACAAGCAGAGAAGAGAATTCAGGGAACAGGAAGGATGAAAGGAGACACTGGCTGCTGCCGCCATGAGTATCAACATGTAAGATACTGGTAAGCCATGAGCCACGTGTCAAAGTATAGATTAATAGAAATGGGTTAATTTAAGATAAAAGAACTAGGTAACAAGAAGCCTGCCACGACCATACAATTTGTAAGCAATATAAGCCTCTGTGTGTTTACTCGGTTGGGTCTGAGAAGCTGTGGAACTGGCGGGCCAGAGAGAGATTTGTCCTGACCGTGGGCCAGGCAGGACTGGAGAAAACTCCAGCTACACCACTCTTCTAATAACCATGGTGAGAAAGGTGGGCTGGAGGGATGGCTCATCACTTCAAAGCACTTACTGTTCTTGCAGAGGACCCAGGATTAGTTCACAGCACTGACCTGGTGACTCACAGCCATCTATAACTCTAGCTCCGTGGGATTTGGAGCCATCTTCCGGCCTCTGTGTTCACACAGTGCACAGAAACTCATGCAAGAGTGTGTGCGCGTGCGCGCGCACACACACACACACACAAGTAAACAAATAAATTTTAAAGAAAAGTAACAAATCATTGAATCTGTATAATTAAGCATAAGAGGAAACAAAGGCTTTGGTCATTTACTGGTATTTATTACGCTGTCTATTGGTTCTGTCCACCTGAAATTTGTTTTCTAACTCTGAATATAGTCCTTGCCAAGTTTTTTAAACAAATTCTAGAGTTTGACTTATTTCTTGTTTCCTAGAACAGAAAAAATAAAATCACCTAAGGTGAAATAATAACATCATTCAGATAGTCACAAACCCAAGATCTAAGGAGAAATTGGGTCAGTATGAAAAGAAATTATATTCTAGGTAAACAAATACATTTCTTACATTATTTTTTTATTTTATCAATCTTTCCTTGCCAATAATATTATTTCTGGAGAAAGTGCCAGGATTTGTGAGTAAAATCTCTGAAATTTTTACTAAGTAATAGAAATGCTCACAGGCCAAAAAGATTCTTTAACTTAGCTGAGAGGCCAAAGACTCAGGCTCAGTGGCTTTCTCGGTGATTTGACTCAATCAGTTGCTCCTGATGTGTTCTAGTTTTGTTTTTAAAGAGAAAGAGGGGGGAAGAGGAGGAGGGGGAAGAAGAAGAGGGAGGAAGGAGGGAAAAAACCTAGTCCTGAGATGGTCTTGCCACTCAGAGACTCAGTTCAACTGAGTGCCCTCCCAACACCCATGAGCTCAAAGATTCATTTCCTCTGTTTCTTCCTGGGCCTGTTGCTTCTCTATCCCCCGTTCTGATGCCCTGATACTTTCAGACCCTCATCGGCTTCCATAGGAAATTCTCCCATTCAGATGGAATATCTTGGACTCTAGAGAAGCTCCCTGAAGTCATGGGGATACACAAAAAAAGTGTGTCCAGAAATACTCTCTGTATTTCTGGAACCACCAACAGAATCCTCTTGTGTCACGCACAGTTAGGAAATAGCCTCACTCCTCAGGAACCACAGTACAACCCCATGTGCTTACAAAATGCTTTCAGGGAGGTGGAGGAAGCTGTGAGATGACTCAGTAGGTAGAAGTACTTGCTGACAAGCCTGATGACTTGAGTCCATGTGGTAGGAAAGAACTGATTCAATAAGCTGTCCTCTGACCTCTATGGATGTGTTGTAGTATGCATGTGTACATGTAAAATAAAGATATGTAATTTTTAAAGATGTGTTTACATTTTTATTTTATGAATATTTTGCCTGCATGTATGTGCACCACAAGCATGCCGTTCCCTCAGAAGCCAGAAGAGGGCATTGGGTTCTCTGGAATTGGAGTTACAGATGGGTGTGAGCCACCATGTGGGTGCTGGGAATAGAACCTAATCTTCTGCAAGAATAGCAAGTGCTCTTAAGCCCTGAGCAATCTCTCTAGGCATCATAAATGTAGTTTTTAAAAATGCATTCTCTAAAGATGCATTTTTCTTTCTCAGGAAAATTCCAGTAAACACCATTTTCTCCAGATCATTTCAAGTGGCATTAGAAATGATTTTAAGTGTAAGTAAAATCCAACAACTGTATTTATTATGTCATTCACTTTATATTTACCTATTATATCCCTGTGTAATGTCATGCATCATAGAGAGAAGAAATGGGTTAAAAGGGGTACAGTCACATCCCAGGAATGGGACCAGGGTGCTAATTTACCTAGATTAATAACACAACTTCCAATCTCTGCCTTTCACACTTGCTAGATCTTCAACCTGCCCAAGGTTAGTGCCTACCACTGTAGAACATGCTAAGGACCGGAAGTCCCAACCACATCAAGGAAGAGGGTTCCTTAAGTCTTCTCATTTTTTATGAAGAAATACCAAACTCCAGATGTGAAGATGATCTGTTTGCAACATCTGTCATGCCATTGGTCACCTGATATGACTGGCTAGGTAGGTGTCCCCTTCTTCTGCCATCGCATGTGCATCCAGAGTTGAGTGCTCAGTCACAGAAGATGACCTTCCCTAATGGAGGACCATTCTTTAGTCAAGGGTACACTAAAAGCTTCATTTATCTTTTAGAATCTCTAAACAGCCCCTCAAGAAATGCTGAGCTCCTGTGTCTCCCCTGAGTGACAATGCTACTGTCCTGTGAAAAGTATCCCGGCTGCTCCAACAGATAACATCAAGAGAAGCCTACAACTTACTGATTTTAACAGTGGTTTGCAAAAACAGTAGCAAAAGGCAGAAAGGGTAGCAGGGTGGAGCTCATAACTTTGGGGGTACCCTATCAAGTTTATGTATAAGCTGCAAAGAAAACCTGAAGTCCCAAACTAGAAGTACATATTCCTCATTATTCTAGGTACCTACCACAATATAGCAACCCCCTGCAAATTCAGTGGCCGGAACAACCACTTTATCATGAGTGTAGATGCTGTGGATCAGGAACGTGAGCAGAACACAGCAGGAGTGGCTTGTCTTAGACTCTCAGCAAGAGCTTCTCAGATGGCTAGGGAAACCTCCTGTATGTCCACCCCTGGGATCTGGGCCGAGATGGTTCTCTCATAGTGTGGCCTGGAGCAACTATGTGTGGTTCAGACTTCATACAGCATGTTGTTTGGGATTCCTGAGAATGAATATTCTAAGAGAACCAAGCAGAACCCACATGGCCTCTTATGACCCACCCTCAGAATTCAAGTAGCTTCATTCCATTATAGTTTATTGGTGAAAACGGTCATAAGGCTTTCTGAGTTCACAAGTGAACACATATCCAGACTCTATCTGTTGGGAGGAGGAATGTCATCAAGTTTCTGGCCATTTCTCCAAAATTGCTGCACAGAATCACTGGATCTGGAATGAAAAAGAAGAAAAACACAGAACGAGATTGAACTAGGGATCAGGGAAGCCACATAGAACATCCTGTCTTTCTTTAGTAAGTCATTGTCTCAGTTTTCAATTCCATTTCTCCCTCAGCAAGACAGAAATAGGAATTATAAGGCAGACCACATAAAATTGATTATACACAACCATTTCTAACCCAGAACAACTGTAATTTGTCCAATCTAATGCTTAATCTATATGTAATATAGAAATATAAGGCTAAAAAGAAGTTTTTAAAAGAGACTGTGTTCAGGGAGGGAAGGGGTTGATATTTCTATTTTATTTAGAATTCCTTCATGGAATTTTGTAATATTTTTAACTTTAAGAAAACTTGATACCTAACAATGGCTTTTTGCATTTAAATAATCATTTAATCAACTTCCTGGGCATATGCCCCGTGATTATGATTCTCCTTCATTTAACTCCTGATAAATATCATTTCTAAAACCTTCGTTAAGATGCCATTTGTGTAGTGTTGTGTAGCAGTTTCCTTTGAAATTAAAGCCTTCCATCATAGAAGGAAGCTCCTTAAGGCACAGGATTTTCTAAGGGGAGAGGAAATTTCCCTCCTGCCGGGAGCTCATTAAGCTCAGAAAGTAAACAACTCAATAGTTCAGGAAGTCCCTGAAACTGAACAGATTCACTCCATCCCTCCCTCCCAAACTTACATAAGCAGTAAGGACTGCTAAGAGATAGTCTCAGACCTAGCCAAGCTGCCTGAAGAAGCTTAGACAAACTCAGATGCATGGAAAAGACACTTTGTGACCTTTTGAACTGCCTATAAGGCATGAGTGAACTCCAGGGTCCCAGCTTTCATGATTGGCCACCCATGTTGGGATGGAATTTTGGTGAGTTGTCTTTGAGCCATTTCTGCTCCCGTAAGTAACCCCTGACCCATACTGCTGTGAGTAACATAAACAAAACAGATTGGTTCACCATGTTGGACTTTGGTGATATGCTTCCTTTTTGTCTATCATCGGGTCTCAATCTGCAGTGAGTAGACATTTGTTCACCTCCCCAGGAACAGTGTCACATAGGATGTGGTACTAAATAAAACATGCGTGCTTTCTATGAACCAAACTCTTGATTTTTGACTTTACACTGCTTTATGCAATGTTCTACCAAATGTTACACTCCACCCACATGCAGAGTCCTTGATACACAACAGATTAACTCCCCATCATTACTTACTAAAGCATGTTGCTAGTCACCCATCATCATCCACACTACCGGCCATCTGCTTCTTCACTGTTGCAGATACCTAACTGGTCAATCGAGTTTTATACAGACATAAAAGAGAAAGAGAGACAAGAAATTGAATTCTATCTAGCTGAACCTAGAAGTTAGAGAAATTACCCAAAAGTTGTTTTGTCATATAACTGCAAAATAATGAAGGGTTTAAACTTTCCCACTTTTACAATTGAATTTAGGTTTCAGTTCTCTGAGAGGGACAAAACAGGTTTCTCTCCCAACAAAGGGCCAGTAATCAACAACACCCTTTCATTCAGGGACAGGGACAGCACACACAAGGCCTGAGTCAGCTCCACAATGTCTCAAGAACAAATCCTGCAACCCCCACTTCTGAGTCATGTCCGGGCTTGCCCAAACTTGCTCAAGTATGTACAAAAATGGTAAAATTGAACCTCAGCCAATTAAAAGTATACTAGTATAACTGCTGCTTGCTTGACAAATTATGTTTGCGATGACCTCACTGTTCCTGAAACTCCCCGAGCTGTGCTTAAAAGGAGCCTGCACGCTCCTCTCAGGGTCGTCGCCATTTTGTACTGGAGTTCCACCCCACACGCTGGTAAATACTCTTTATTTCTTGCATACTATTTGAGTATGGGGTCTTCCTTCAGCATTTCCTCAGACCCTTACACTGTAAAACCTGGTTCTAATGATGAATCACAAGCTTTGGACTTTCCAGACATGTTTCTGAGCAACAGAATGCATACTCGACCTTGCATTTGATTTGTTCTCTGAGTTAGCTACATTACTTCACTGTGTGGTGATAGTTGGGATCCATGAGCACAACAATAGAACCCTAAATAAACCCAGTTGAAGCAATGCCTGCGTCTGAGGTGGTTAGAAGAAACATGCAGGAGTCCTGTCTTTGGTTCTGAAGATTCAGAATTGCACCCTTTTCTGATGGTGATCCTTTTGTCTTGGTTTGTGAAAGACTGTATTCATTTTATAACTAAAATGCCCATATCCCTGGAAGTCCACTGGACCCACGGAAGTACAAACAACCATCTATCTACTTACCACTGACACAAGACCTGTGCAAACACAAGCCTGGCCAGATCTCAGCATGGGTAAGGGAGGTGGACACAAAGTCCCAGCCTTAGCTAAGGAACTATTGGCAACCGACAGTTTCTGTGAAATGAGAGTCAGCTTTCTCTAAGAGTTTAACTCCTAGTACGTCAACTATGCTCCAGTAATTTCCATACATCCACGAATACATGGGCAACACAAACTGTACTTGTGTTTTCTTTTAAAGAACATGAAGTTGGATGGGTATGGAAAGAGGGGTGAATCCAGCAGGAGTTGGGGTGTGTGAATATGATGAAAACATGTTGTACAAAATTCTCAAAGAAATAATATTTTTAAAGAAATTAACTTATAAAACTGGGCCTGGTGGCACATGCCTATAATCCTATAACTCTGGAGGTGGAGGCAGGAGGATCAAAGGTTCAAGTTTATCCTCAGCTACATAGAGAGTTCAAAGGCTGACTGGAATACATGAGACCAGATCTCAAAAAACAAAAACAAAAACCCCCAGTAATTTCTAAACTTACTATGGAAACAATAAAAATAGACAACAAAAATAGCCTTCAGTGTCTATAGTCTTTTGTTGTCTGACTCAAGGGCACCTACATGGCTTTTCAGTACTGCAGAGACATCAGGATGCTGGCCACTAGGATTCTCCTATAAAAATCCCTAAGTAAGAGAAAGTTAATTTTTTTTCCTCTTCCTTCCCAAAGGCCTCTGAAGCTGCCCAGTGTCAGAGGGACTCTGTGCTGGGTATTTTTTCTTATCACTATGACTGAAGCCTGACAAAGCAACTGAAGGAACACGGGATTTATTTTAAAGTCACCACTCATCACCACAGGGATGGTATTAGGGAGAGTGGTTGTATCCATGGCAGAAGGAGCACAAGGCAGCTGGGCACATGGTGCCCGCAGTCAGGAAGCAGAGGGAGGCGAATGCTGGGGCTCAGCTCCATTTCTCCTTTACACTCTCTCTAAAACCTCAGGTATTGTGGTGGTGCCACCCAAACTCAGGGTAGATCTTCCCTTTTCAGTTAAACCTCCCTGCAAACATCATCATAGACACACCTTGAAGTGTGTCTCCTAGGTGACTGCAATCTAGTCAAGTTGACGATGAAAATGAACCACCACAATCCCATATAGCCCAGGTCCAGAAAAGAGACTTGCAGGAATCCCCTCATTGAAAACTGATCCTGATGAGATATAATTTCTCTTGCCAAATAAAAATCCCATTCTTAAAAGCCTCATCCACCCTCCCTCCTACCCATCCCCTAAAGGAATAAACAGCGGTGGGGAAGAGATATATAAATACTCTGTTAACGAATTTTGAAAGTATTTTATTTCCAAAAACTAGCAGACACATTTACTTTTCTTGGTATAAATTAGTAATCAAAGAAAGAAAATGCTTTCAAACAATTATACTAATAAAAAAATGTGTCTATAGTCAGAAAGCTGGGCAGTGATAATAATGGAACTTTTCCAGCCTATGGTTTAATTAAGGATTGCCAAAATTAGCATACATGTCCTTTATAGCACTGAGTCTCTCCCTTACTCTCCCCTACCTCCCACCCTCCCGTATCTAACCCACTAAGTCTCTAATCCTTTGTCTCACCAAAACCTGCCATCTCCCCTCCTTCTACCTCTCCCACACCTGGAGACCATAAGGATGGGCTGCTCCAAATAAGCAGAGGAAATAGGCATTGCCCTCCGAGAAGAAGGAAAGTGTGCTGACATCCCCCTTGTTCCAGGCCTTAAGAGACTGATTTAATTGCCTAAGAGAGGCTGTGGGCAGATGGCAGCCTCAGCAGCCTGGGCTTTTGGTCAGCAGGATGCCATGAGATGCTCTCCCTGACATTTTGCTCAAGATGTTCCCAATACACAAAGTTGGCAGCAGAGGATCCTGTGAAGTGTTTGCTAGCTTGAAATTATGGCCTTGTCATGATGCCTTGGCCCAATGAGTGTTGCCTCTCCTCAATTCCTCCGCCAAGTCTGTAGGCAAAGACCAGGGACAGGACAAGAGGGTCACATACCTGAAGGAGAAGTTGGAACACCAGCACAGGGTGGGACTGAGGCCAGCAGAAAGATGAGTGGACAGCAAACTGGCTGCACAGAAACAAGGACCTGAAATCAGGACCCCAAAAGCTACTTAAAAAGCCAAGTGTGGACACTTACCTATAATCCCAGCACTGGGAGGCAGAAACCTGAGAATCCCAGAAGCTCACTGGCCAGCCAGCCCAGCCAATTAATCAATGAGCCTCAGGTTCAGACCTTGTCTCAAAATACCAACCGGAGAAGCAACTGGAGAAGATACTTGACATCATCTTCTGGCCTGCAGATACACCCCCACACACATGCAGATGAGTGTGAACATTCGCAGACACACCGGTGGAGACTGGGCTGTCCCTGACTGTGTCCCTTAGACTTCGTCATTTTCATCTGTGAGGGGTATCTAAGAAGTCTGTGGGGGCTGTGAGCCTCTAGACAGAGAGCAAGAGACCTGATCACAGCAGAAACATGGAACTTCGGCCTCCCTTGAATGCTCATTTCATCCACACCCCACCTGGCGGGAAGTCTCTCTGTGTCCTCTAGAAGTCAGAATGTCACACTAAGCTGTCCCCAAATCTGATGGAGCTGGCATAGGAAGAGCAATTTCTCACAGGACAAGCCTGCATGTGGCAGATCACTGCTCCTCCAGAAGACCCAGGACTCTGTCTCTTGCATGTGACCCCCAGGACTCTGCTGGAGGAGAAGCAGGTGCACACACAATGGCACAGAGATCTGGAAAGTCCTTCAGCTATGAAAACACTACAAAAGCAGCTGGCCCCGTGTAGCTTAAGTTTTCCTGCCTGGCCCACAGTCAGGGCAAATCTCTCTCACCTGCCAGTCCCACAGCCGTCAGACCCGACCAAGTAAACACAGAGACTTGTATTGGTTTCAAACTGTATGGCCATGGCAGGCTTCTTGCTAACTGTTCTTTCAGCTTAAATTAATCCATTTTTATAAATCTATACCTTGCCACATGGCTCGTGGCTTACCGGCATCTTCACATGCTGTTTCTCATCGTGGCGGCTGGCAGTGTCTCTCTGACTCAGCCTTCCACTTCCCAGCTTTATTCTCCTCCTTGTCCTGCCTACACTTCCTGCCTAGCCAATGGCCAATCAGTGTTTTATTTATTAACTAATTAGCAACACATTTGCCATACAGAACATTCCACAGCAGGCCCGGACAAGAACAAACGAAGCCTCGTGCATTAGAGGCCAAGTGATGAGCTCTACACTAGACCTTCCCAGCTGGTGCCTTTTCTCTCTTTGTTTTGTTTTTGAGACAGAGCCTCCTATACGCCAGGCTAGCCTCCAGTTCTCTATGCCGGCAATAACAACCTTAAACTTCTGATTGTCCTGTCTTAGCCTCCTGAGTGCTGGGCTTACAGGCATCTGTCACCACGCCTGGCTACAGGATTTTGGGGACAAAATGCAGAACTCATCGCATGCCGGGCAGGTTCTCTATCCACTGAGCAACATCCCAGTCCCTACTTAAAAATGCTAAATATCTATTAATTAACTCTCCAGTCACAAGGAGTTTTTAATAATGGGGATGGATCTGGCTTACTGTTACCAGTAAATCACTCTTAGATGCAAACTGGGGTCTAGAGCACACAGACGACACATGCTGGGACATTCAGAGGTCGTCTAGATTGTGTAGATGGATGTCTTCAAGGCCCAGCCTCAAGATCCCACATATCACACCAGTATCTGAGAAGAGTCCTGTGGGTGGGGGATGACCTGGAAGGAACAGGCGATTCCTCCGGAGAGTGTTGCAGTTACAGAGGAGGATGGGGTAGGAAGTCCAAGTCCAGCCTGAAAGACAGTGGGATGGCCGAGCTTCCATCCCACCACTGCCTCCCTGACAGCGGCCTTTCTGGTTCCTACCCAGGGCTGCAAGGAGCTGAGGGAAATGGGAGAGAGAGCTCACAGGCAGCAGCTGGTAGAAGCAAACAGCAGACCAGATCTGACTGCAGGCAGGCAGCTCAAAGGCTTGCTAATGTACCCAGAATTAATAAACCCGTGGAAAAATCTTCCCTAGCAGTAACTTATATACAAATTACAATTACAAAGTATATAAAGAAATCTCCTTTCATGTCTTTGTGCATTCAACTGACTCATTAAACGCAAACAGCTCTGTTCCCAGAGCTGGAGTCAGTATTTTCCAGGTTCTTTTCAGGATTCTCAGCCTAGACCTGACTGCAAGAAGCATCTAGCTAGTGCTGGACGTTGAAAAAGGAGGACGAAGCAGAATGATGCAGACTGTCCTTAACTACAACGGGGAAGATGAGCATCACTCAGGCTCGGGGCCCAGTCGGTTGCCCCACAAGAGTGACGACCTAAGTTTGGTCCCTCGATGCAGTTAAAACGCTGAGCATGGTAGCATGTGCTTGAAATCCCCGTACTGGGGAGGCAGACAGGCATACCAGGGGAGCTCACTGGCCGGCCAGCTTAGAGCGCTCGAGTGAATTCGAGGCCAGTAAGAGGCCCTGTCTCAAAAAACAAGGTGGAGGCCGCCCAAGGAGCAACAGCTAAGGTTGAGCTCTCTCTCTCTCTCGCTCGCTCTCTCTCTCTCTCTCTCTCTCTCTGTGTGTGTGTGTGTGTGTGTGTATGAGAGAGAGAGAGAGAGAGAGAGAGAGAGAGAGAGAGAGAGAGAGAGAGAGAGAGAACAAGAAAAGAAAGCACTGCTAATCATTATGTTCAGAGAGGTAGAAAAAAAAATCAGTTTCACATAGCTGGAAAGTAGCCAAAGAAAAACAAACTTTGAACTTTCTGGAGTCTTCCTTCTAGACCTTGTGCCGTGTCAAGCATGCTGTCTTGTGCATGTGTTCACCCACTGTTTGTTGTATTTTGTTTTGCTCTTCTAGAGTTTAGTGTTACATTCCCTCCCCTCCACACACACACACACACACACACACACACACACACACACAGCCAAGTTCTGAAAGTTGCTCTCCCCTTGACAGAATGTCATGAGAACTAACAAGATCATGTCTTTAAACGCTTTGATCACACAGAAGACAAACTGAAGCAGAAGTTTGTATTGTTACAGTGACTCTAATGACTATAATTAATACTAGACAACACGATGATAAGAACGTGTTGTCGTTATAATGCCTAATTAGAGCTGTTTCATCATTATTTTCTTCCTGGGCCTAATGACCATGATCATCATTATTAATAACGGTTGGAACCACAGAGAGACAATGGCTGCATGAACAAGCAGTTTGGTGCCAGCTTGCCGTGGTACAAGGGAGAGTACTCCAGCGGTCTCTTGCTGGTCATGATGACTTTGCTAGCTGCGAATGACAGTTTAATCAGAAATGACAGACAGCACAAAACTCTAGAGTGGGGGAAAGGCAGCTCAGGTCACCAACGTTCCCCTGGGGCTGCACCTCTTCCCCCAGCACAACTGATATCCAAACGTGCACAGTTAATCTCCAGCACAGCCCCCCAAAAGGTCACCATCAATTGTTCTTATCCAAAAGCTCCTTGGTAGGAAGGCCTCACTCTGCTCTGAAAGCATGGACCAGCCACCTACTCTCAGTATCCCCCTAAGTATCAAGGATCAAATTTCAATCAAGAGAAAAGGATACAACCTCTATGAGGCTGTGGAGGCCAAAACTCATGCCACTCCACTTCCCTGAGAAGGTCTGCCTACCTCCAACCTGCAAGAAACAGTGTGAATGCTGAGAACATGAGAAGGACGATGTGCTAGAAAGACCACAGAAGGCCCTACCCACCCAACTGCTCACCTTCCTACTGCCACGTCTGTGACCAATGACGCTTCTGCATGTGGTCTTCCTCATCAAAGACATCGCCACTGCTGAGGCCTGACTTCAAAGGCTTTTCTTACAGGAAGTCCCTAATCCACTACCCTCATAAGCCAGGTTACATAGAGGAACATATATGGTAGATAATATTATCATAGTAACTCATAACATTTATTATTAAACTAACACATTGCAAAGTGTAGAAGTGGATAGCTGTCATGTTAGCCCTTGAGAGGTGGAGGCAGGAGGATAAGAAGTTCAAGTTATCCTCAGCTACAAAACTAGTTTGAAGCTAACCTGGGCTACATAAGACTCCATCTCAAAATAACAACAAATAATAGTAACATATATATATACCAACACATGTAGTGTATTATAACAGCATAAATATATAAAAGCACCATATATAAAAGCCTTATATTGAGAGTTTAGTATATACCAGATTTTGCGTGTATTTTTGCTCATGTAATTCTCAAAACCACTTTATCAATTTTACTGTTCTATTTAACTTGTGTGTATGTCCATATATATGACTATGGATGGGCACATGGATGTGTGTGTGTGTGTGTGTGTGTGTGTGTGTGTGTGTGTGTGCGTGTGTATGCATAGATGTGGAGACCTGAGGTCAGTTATCATCCTTCAGAATGTCCTCCACCCTATTTTTTTGAGAGTCTCTCATTGGTCTAGAATATACCCAGCAGGCTAGGCTGCTAGCCAGTAGGTTCCAGGGTTTTGCCTGTTTCCTCTTTCTTGGGATTCCAGCTGTGTGCCACACTGCTCAGCCTTTTAATGTAGGTGATGTGTCGATGGCACACGCTTTATATACTAAGCCATCTCCCAAGCTCTGGTGCACTTAGTATTATTATCAATCTTATTTTTTTCAGATGAAGCCCAGATAGGGAATTTTCCTGAGGTCATACATCCAACAAATACAATCTGTTAAACACTCGACACTCTGCCCTCTGTAATAGCAACTACAGAAGGTGGCTATTTATCATACAAACTTGGAGATGAACACAGGGCCACGTGACCTTCACTTCAATTTCTGGGCTCCATTCCATCACCATTAACAATACCCCCACTTCCTGCTCCTGCCCCAATAGGAAATGTGTAACGGAGCAGATGTTCAATAAATGTTGCTTCTAATTGAACTGAACTGAGACAGAGCAGCAAGAGGCAGAGTGCATAAGGATAAACACGGGGTCAAACCTCTGTCTTGAAAGTGGCACCTGGGTGCCTCACGCTATTTCCCCTGTTCTGTTGAAAAGAAAGAGAAATGTGGCTGAGGCTACATCGTACCAGGTACCCAGAGGGATGAAGACATCCCACACAGAAATGTGTACAAGATGCCAGCTTCACCAAGTCTCACTGCTCTGCTCCTCTTGGCAGAAAAAATTTACATAAGACATTGCTCCAGTTAGGTCTTCTGTTCTGTTTTGTTTCTTGAAACAAAAATCTTAGGTAGGTTAGGCTGGCTTTGAACCCCTGATCATCCTGCTTCTGCCTCCTAAGTCCTGAATTACAAGTATGTGCAACTCTACCCAGTTTTATGTTGTACCCAGAACCAAACCCAAGGCTTCTTACATACTAGGCAAGCACTCTGTGAACCAAGCCACATCCTCTACCTTAACTTTGAACTTCTGGTCCTCCTGTCTCACCTCCCAAGTGCTGGCATTATAGAGATGTGCCACCATGCCAAGTTTATGTGGTGTTAGGAGTCTAACCCAGGGTTCTATGCAT